ACTTGAAGTGATTCAGTCATTTGCCGATAATTCATATTAATCTTGGCAGGGCCTGAGGATTTGAACTTAGGAAGTCAATGTTATTTTATAACTACTGTAGAATTAATAAAGTGGAAATAAATCTAAGGGAAACATAATGAGTTTAAGTGAACAATAATGAAAAACCCTGTTATGGATTTGAGAGGGTCACTGGGACTTATTAAAAGGCCTTAATAAACTGAAGAAGAAGTAAAATTAAAGAAACAACCTGTTAAGAAATGTCACTATCCTGGGTACACTTGATTGGATTTAGATCACTTTCTAATGAGAGTTCTTGGTAAATGCTAAGCTGCTTATGAGTATGACATCTTTGTTAACTTTAAGCGCAAAAACCCCCAAATTATTTATAATCTTTAAGTCCTTATTCTGATAAATATGCCAGTATACCCATTTCTCTGTTTGACATCTTTGTCATGATCATAATATATATAATCTCAAATAATAAAATAATACTTGTCTGATGTTTCCGGAAATATTAAGCACCAGAAACTTTGGGTTGTTGATGTGAAGTTTTTTTTTTTTTGGCAGTTGACTGTTGGGATGGTCCAGACGGAGAGCCGGTCGTGCACCACGGTTACACTCTCACTTCAAAAATTCTCTTCCGAGATGTTGTGGAGACCATCAACAAGCATGCCTTTGTGAAGAACGAGTAAGTGTAGCACCACCTGGGCGGGAGCTAAGCTACTCCAGCCCACGGAGCCCTGCCTGATGTAACGTGGCTACAGAAGCACACGCTCTTCCTTGGCACCTGCATCTCCTTTCTCCTACCCTAGTTTTCTCCTTCCTTCCCAACAAAACATTGTGAACAAATAATATGGGCTCCATGTACACACTTTCTTTTGCTCCATTTATTCTTTCTCTAGATGTTGCCTCCACAAAACATGGTCTTGCAAAGAGTGAGCTGAAAATTTCCAAGCCCGGGGTGTACAGAGTATCTATAGTCTGGAAACCCAGGTTACTATACAGCAGTTTATTGATATTACAAGGTGGGATTAAAAAAAATACGGTGAATGTTTAATTTTAAAAAATTTTATTACAATAAAAGACACATTGCCATGAATCCCTCTCAAAAGACTCCCCTTCGCTTCGAACACACTTATCCCATCGTTCTTGACACTTTCTGAAGCAGTTCCAGAAGTCCTCTTTCGTGAGTGTCTTTAGTTGAACTGTCATGGCTGCCTCGATGTCCCAAATCATTTGACTTTGGGGAAGAGCCAGAAGTCGCATGGTGCCAGATCTGGTGAATAATGTGGATGAGGACACACCGTAATGTTTTTATTTAACAGAAATTGCCATACCAGAAGCGATGTGTGACATGGAGCGTAGTCACGATGGAGGATGAAGTAAAGACACTCATAAGAGAGGACTTCCAGAACTGCTTCAGAAAGTGGCAAGAACAATGGGATAAGTGTGTTCAAAGCCAGGGGGAGTATTTTGAAGGGAATTAATGGCAATGTGTCTTTTACTGTAATAAAATTTTTTTTAGTTGAATATTCACCATATTTTCTGATCATACCTTGTATATTACAATACAGTAAAATAATATCTAGGTTTCCAGACTTGCTGGATGTCCTTTATATGCTAAAGTGTCTAGCATCCTTATGTGATTTGACCCCTCTTTTGTAGTTGATAATGGTGACTATTTTCTCACCAATACTTGCTCTTTTTTTGTTTCCATTTTAACATTCTCTCCTCCAATGCTGTCATTGCTCCACTCTCCTTTTGTGGCCTATAGTCTTCTATTTCCTCACTCCTTTAATAGTTAATTTTTCCTATGTGGTCTACCTTTCTGGTTATTTGTCTAATTACATGTCCAGATCTTTTCCCTTAAGTTAAGAGCTATACAGAAACATTCTTAGTAAAAATTCATCTGAGTATCCCATAGGTACCTCAAAATCAATAAATGTTTTTATTTGTTCAAGTATCTATTCAGATGTTTAATGGCACCTACTGGAAGCCAGGAATACTGTAATAGGTGCAGGGAGCCACACACTAAGCGAAAGATAAGACTCCTGCCATCATTGAGCTTGTATCCCAAACTGAACTTATCACCATCTCATTTTGCCAAATCTCCTCTCACTCGGCTCTTTTTCTTTTATTTATTTTTTTTCCTTTATAGTTAGGGAGTAGCAATGTCTACCAGTGGCTTCAGCCAGAAACTGGGAGTTATTCTAGAGTTAGCCAATTCTTGTCAATTCTACTTCCATTGATCTTTTGGCTCAATTGCCTTCTCTTCATTTTCACCTTCCCTTTTGTTCATCCTCCACACGGGTGCACTATTTCTCTTTCTGAAAGTATAAGCATGATGTTGTAAGTCTTGTGTTGAAGTCCTTCAGAAGCTCCCTGTAGTTCAGTCATGTCTTCTATACCCTTCAGAGCCTGACTTCTTCCTCCTGTTCCAGTGTCTTCTTCCACCATTGCTCCACAGAGACATAGGCTTCTGCCTTCATTGACTGTCTTTCGGATTTCCCAGTGAGCCCAGTTGTCCACAATTCCTTACCTTTGCATATGCTGTGCGCTCTACCTGGAACACCCTTCTCCGTGATTCCACCTGCCTAATTCCTGCTCATCCCACAAGACTCCTTAAGCGTTGTTCCTCTGGCAAACTTACTGATACCACCAATTGATTGAAAAGCTGCTTTTTTCTGTTCTTAGCACCTTGAGCATATTTCTATCATATCGTATGGCTCCCTATAACAATTTTTGGTTGCTTGCCTTATTTTAAGTCCTTTAAACCATGAACTCATTGAAAATACAGGGCTACATCTTATTCATTCTTTATTGCCGAGCACATGCCTGCAATACACTTACCAGACAGCCAGGAAATGATTTTTGAAACAAAGGAAGCAAATTAAAATTGCAATTTCATGAAATTAATCTTATAAATGTTAGTAGCCTTTGAATAATATTTGGTCTTGTCATTAATTAATCATGAGGTTAAGAGGCACTTCTAATGAGAAACACTGCTGCACAGCTGGTTGAGTTTATGGTGTCTTGTATATGGATGAATGTCGAGTACTGATGTCTGATGTATCTCTGCTACCCTGATTGCTACTAGTCTCAGGATTGCTAGTAGTTGAAGGAATGGTTTTGCCCTTTCTTTCCCAATATGTGAAATAGAATGCTGAGAAAACCTGCTACTTATGTACCTCTGAAGAGCCTCTGGTGACTTAATAGCCCTTACTTCAAGTTTGGGAATCCTTAGGAGAAAAGCATTTCAAATTAAAACAGTTAATAAGCTGCTTTAGCACATTTTAAAGGTTGAGTCTTTTTCTGTTCTTTCTTAAACTTCAGTTGCATCTTTATACCAGGAATTTTCCACCTTGGCACTACTGACATTTTGAGTCAGAGAACTGTTGGTTGTGGGGAACTGTCTTGTGCATGTAGGATGGATAAGAGCATCTCCAACTTCTATCTACTAAGTGCCAGTAGCACCCCCATATTGTGACCACCAAAAATGTCTTCAGGCATTGACAAATGTCCCTTTGCAGTGTGTGTGTGTGTGTGTGTGTGTGTGTGTGTGTGTGACATTGCCCCATCCCCTGTTGAGAAGCACTGCTTTACACTAAACACGTGTAACGCTAATAGACTTTTTATAAACAGATCAATAATTTAAAAATTCATTGTTAGGACTCCATGATGTGATTGTATCGACAACTGAGGGTTGCTAGTTTGTTGTTGTGTTCCTCTTTTTTCTAACACTCTGGATAAAACCCATGTGAAGACCCAAGAGCAAACAGATTAGAGTCAGATAACCAAACCAACTTCGGTCATGAAGTCTCATCTTGTATATTACCTCTGGCATCAGGTTTTACTAATGAGGATAGAATATAATTTTAGGAGGTCACAGCCTGTATTGTGGAGCTTATGCTTGTTATACAAGCCCAGAAATAAATTTTATTTCCTCCACATGGATATGTTAAGCAATTTAAATATTGGTTTGTAGCGCTGGAAAAAAATATATTGCCTATTCCTTGGAAGACATTGATGGAAAACTAGAAAACAAATAAAAATAAACCCGAATTGGAAGTCATTTCTCATTCTGAGGAAAAAACAAAGTCAGAAGAGGGGTAATATCATGTAATCAGGCCTGGTTCCCCTTCTCCCTTGGCCACCACCTCCTCAGGCTGTCTTTGATAGTCACTTTTCTCAGATCTTGCATTCTCTACGCAAAAACCTGAGTGCTGGTGGAGAGTGAATACTTGACTTTATTTTTTCCCCCTGAAACTAAAGACTAGTATATAATTCAATACAAATGATTTTGAAATGCCTGACATACAATGCTATAAAACAAAAAATTCCATTATGGTATTTTATACTTAACAGTAATTTCCAAGTTGGGACTGATTATATATTTGCAAGTAAATATCTGCATTTAATAATATTCAGTGGTCTTAGCTGTTTCTAGACTTTTGAGTAAAAATAACACAAAGCTACATTATGAGTTTTGTTTCTTTAGGCTTCTCATCTCTCTTAAAATGTTCTCTGTTTTAAAAGAGACATTGTATGTACCATTTATTTTCTGTGATAAGCCGTCCCATATGAATTGATATATTGTTCAGCCGTTATACCTGGCAAAGTGTATTTGCTCAGAGGAGGGTTTTTTGTTTTTTGTTTTTTAAATGCGTATGTGATTTTTCTCACTTCGAAGCATTTTAATCATCACCACTCTCACAAGTACTGTTACTAGGATTGCAATAACATAATGAATACAGGACGTTTTTCCAAACTCCCTTGGAGTTGCCTGTACTCGATGCCCTTAGACCGTGTTGCTGTTCTTGCAGGTTTCCGGTTATACTGTCTATTGAAAACCACTGCAGCATCCAGCAGCAAAGGAAGATTGCTCAGTACCTGAAGGGAATATTCCAGGACAAGCTGGACCTCTCATCTATCGACACGGGAGAAACCAAGCAGCTTCCGAGCCCTCAGAGTCTGAAAGGCAAAATCCTGGTGAAGGTAATTAATTACCTGAGGGAACACGATAAAAGGCATTGATGATCAGCGAAGGCCTCCCTTCCTGAAGGACTAAACACTGGTTTATCAAGAGAACACTAATTCGAGTCCATACATGAAGGGTTGTCTAGATTTGTGTGTGCACCTTGCTCCAATGTATTTATAGTCATACCTTGAGAAAAAGCTTGTTGTTGACTGACCGCATATTCTAGGATTTGTTTTTATGAAGGGAGCACATCAGTACTATAAGCCAGCTGTTTACTGTTTTAGTCTGTAATGGTTTATGCTGGAGAACTATGTGTGTATAGGAGTGTGGGGTACAAGGGAGGTGAAGGCTCCTATGTCCATATCTGAAAGTGTCTCTTTCATATTCATTTCTCCCATTTCAAGCTCCAATAACTGTCAAAACAAAACAAAACAAAAAAAGTCTTCACGGTTGAGCAGCCTGGGTTATGTAAGTGGGAAGAGCTCGCTTCAAAGAGGAGCTCAGGCACAGACATAATGCCCCACAGGACTCGCGTGTATGCGAAGGAGCAGTCAGTGACTGGCATATTTTATTAACAGATTTTCTGAGTGGGGGTGAGGGCTCTGTACTACCTGCAATGAATATTATTAATGCAAGGAATAGACAGAAAGACATTTCCTGGAGACTTTAGATCACTGACTTTTTGATTTTACTTAATTCCAGTTAATTTTGTGTGTTTGGACTAAAAGCATCTTGGATAGTTACATTATTTTGAGACCAAAAACCTAAGGAAGAGCAGTATTAATAAACTGAGTTATATTTTACCTGAAAGAGGTATGTACAAAAATCCAAACATCACACAGGAGGCACAAAAACAATCAAGGAAATGGTTTCATTTCACAGCAAGACTTTAAGGGGAGGGGGCAGTAAATGGGAAAGATATATAAAGTAGTCATCTTTGGAATTGGTCAAAACCTGTTTTTCCATCAGTTAAATGCAAATTAGAGACTGAATCCATCAAAGAGGTGTTATTGGGCATTTGTATGTGTGAAAGCATTTTGAATAAAAGCTCCAAATAATGCAAGAGATAACAGTTAATTTTCTTGAAGTCTTGCTAAAATGAACTCTTGTGAATACTGATTGCTGGGCTAGAAATCTGTTACCTTGATCGCGTTGTAAATGTTTCCATGTTTCCTGAATCATTTTTAGCCAGCAGTTAGAAGGTTAAATGCAGAATAAGTCCAGTTGATTGAAATCCTTCCATTTTGGACAGTGGAACTTAAGGTAGATATTGATATGAACTGAGTCCCTTTTACATAACTGGACTTTGGTCATTTGCTGATGGGCACCAGGATGAGTTGGAGCCAGAAGCTCGGAGGCACCGGAAGGAGTGGCTGCAACGTGAACTAGGAGTATTTCAAGGCAGCTGAGGTCCATTTGCAGGAATAACATTCTTCAGACTTGAAGATTTCCCAGATCTATGGACCAGTATGCTCCCATTTAAATAAGAACAAGGGAACCGATTTTCCTATGTTCTTTTAGCAGCAGAGCTATCTCTGATCCCCAAAGTGCATTTGAATGGCTCTTTACCACTTTGGAGGCTGGCAAGTTGTTTACTATAACTATAACACATACACACCTAGTTTTCCATATTGCTGAAGGAAACCTTGACTATCTGGTCCAAGGTTCCTACTTTTACAGATGTGAATCACAGAGTTATCACTCTCCTGGGGCCATGCAACTTGAAGCTGAGAGGTGGCTTTGGTTCTAGTTTCTACCAATATTTTCAGAGACCATGGATGAATTAATCTAATTCCTGAGTGTGACTCCTGCATGAAATAGTGTGCAGATCAGAAAGGGACCCCTAGAAGACGCCTGGGTCCTTTCTCATTTACACCTACATTGGACCGTGGTTAAGTTCGTTATTACATAAGATTCTACCCAGGTTTATTCCATCATTTCCTTTAGGAGTAACACTGTTGATAAGAGGTATTAGGAAACAATGTTCTGTTGTGTTGTTTTTCTTCCAATCTGTCTGGATAAAGTTGAGAACTAGGATTGTGGAAAAGTTGTCTTAAAATGTGGCCCTCATGTCTGTTCATTAGGTTTAAAAGGATTGAGAATGAGGGCACCTTGTGGATGCTCTGAGAAGTGATCTCTCTCTCTCTCTCTCTCTTTCTCTCTCTCTCTCTCTCTCTCTCTCTCTGTGTCTGTCTCTTTCCCTCTCTTTCCCTTTCCCTTTCTCTCTCCCCCACTCCTTCTCCCTCCTCCCTCTCTCCCTCTCTCCCTCTCTTCCCCTCTTCCCTCGCCCACTGCCACACTTAAATGAAGGGCAGCTGAAGCTGTGTCCCTGCCCTATGCTCAGTACTACGTACTCATCACGGCGCCCCTGTCCTTGTTGTCCTGTGCTATCAGGACCATCTGTATCACTCAAAGACTGTTATTCCTTACTTGACGATGTTATTTCTCATGTGTCTTAGCTCTGTTCTGCTGAAACTTTAAAAAATATATTGGCTTGGATGCTGTTTCCAAAGAGGAAGTTGCCGTCACTGCATTTAAAATGTCTTGTGTACAGGCCCATCCCTGTGTTTTGAGGAGGCCCTTCACAGGGGCTGGCGATGCCAGACATTTGCTTTTGCAGCCTTTCTTAGAGCTAGGGTGTGGGCACATGATCTAGTGAGTGGGACCAGCCAGAATCCATCCTAGTAAAGTGTGGAGGAAGTGGTGGCAGCTACATTTAGGGCCCATGGGCAGCATTTCTGGCAGTAGTTCCTGGTTTCTATTGTATGGATAAGAGAGTAGAAAGCTGTGCTTAGTTGTGTTGGAAATGGTGTCTTCAGGTATTCGTTCTGCTCTATGATTTTGGTTGGTGAATGTATTAGTTATAGCTGCATAACAAATTACCCCAAAATTTAGCATCTTAAAACAACAAACATTTGTTATCCCATGATTTCTGTAGGTCAGGAATCTGGGTGTATCTTAGCTGGGTCCCCTGGTCTGGATGTCTCATGAGGCTGCAATCAAGGTGTCAGCTGGGGCTGCCATCATCTCAAGGCTCTCTTGGGAGGGGCTGCACTTTCACTTTAGTGGTTGTTGGCAGGTTTCCAGTCCTCAGAGGCCATGGGTTAGAGCCCTCTCTCAGTTCCTGTCCTGTGGGCCCCTCCATAGTACAGCTCACATCAAAGCAGAGAGTGAGAACAAGAGAGAAAGAGAGTTTTCTAAGAGAGGAGTGGGGTGGAAGAGGCAAGCAAGAAAGAAGCCACAGTCTTTCTGTAGTCAAATCTCAGAGGCGACATCCCATCACTTTTACTGTATTCCATTTGTTAGAAGTGGGTCCCTAGGTCCAGGCCACAGTCAAAGGGAAGAGATTACAGAAGGACATAAATACCTTCTATGGTGGAGGCTGCCCACCACAGTGGCTTTGGCCACTTAGCCTCAAGGTTTGTTTCTGACCCCACACCAACCTTCCCTAGGGGATTCTGGGCGCCAGTTCAATTTCCTGTTCTGCTGCCAAGTAAGATGCCTTACTGATGCACATGGTTAGATGCCATAGAAGCCTTTATCAGGCTCCTGGGAATTGCCCTCTGCCACTGCTTTTTATTTACTTTTGCTTTTTCTGAATATAAATTGAGAAATGTAGAAAAGGAGAAAATAACTATCATTCATAACACTGTTAGTCAGAGATACCTACTCTTAATAATCGACCATATTTCTTGCCAGAGTTTTTCCTTGAGTTTTTATGCATCATTGGTGTTATATTATGTATATAATTCTGTAACTTGAGCTTCTTACCATTTTATTATAAGAATTTCATCTTGTTAAAAAGTCCCTGATTTCTAACGTGTGTGCTGGTAAGTGGTCGTGAAGAGCATGCTCTGACTGGGCAGCAGCCTCAAATCATTGTCTGTGACAGAGGGGCTTATAAGTGAAGAGGGACACAGCCAGTATGTGGCAAAGGGTACATTTAACCTGCTTAAAACATCCTGCTCTTAAGGGCATGGGATAGAGTGATGCTTATTATGATGAGTCCTATATTCTCAAAAAGAAACCTGATTTTTTACTGTAAGTATAGTGTCCCTAACCATCTATATCTAATTAAAAGTAATTAAACTGCCTTTTCTTGAAAGTCTCTTCTCCCTTGTTTTGCCCATAATTCAAATGATCTGCTTTCTAGTCAGTCTGAAGTAGTGTTGGTCAAAGGATAAGACATTTTAAGGGCCGGCTGAGTGGCTCAGTTGGTTAAGAGCTCGCCCAAGGGTGTAAGCTCTGAGCAACAGCGGTTTGAGTCCCGGCCTGAGCTGAGCTGCCAACAGGTGGCAGGATGGCTCAGCTAAAAAAAAAGATATATTTTAAAAATGATTTTAATTGTAAAATACAAATGATAAAATTTACCTGCCATCTTAACCATTTTAAGTGTACAGTTTAGCAGTGTTAAGTACATTCACATTGCCATGTAACCAATCCCCAGAACTCTTCACCTTGTGAAACTAACTCCATACCCATTAGACAACTCCCCACAGCCAGGGTAACCACTATTCTACCTTCTGTCTTTATGAATTTGACTCCTCTGGGTACCTCATATAGGTGAAACCACATAGTATTTGTCTTTTTGTGACTAGGTTATTTCACTTAGCATAATGTCCATAAGGTTCATCCATGCTATAGCATGTGTCATAGTTTCCTTCCCTTTTATGGTTGAATAATATGCCATCATATGCATAGACCACATTTTGTTTATTCATCTGTCAGTGGACACTTGGAATGTTTCCACCTTTTGGCTATTGTGAGTTTATTTTCAGTTTCAAGTCATGTTTTGTTCCATTTCAGGGTAAGAAGTTGCCTTATCACCTTGGAGATGATGCAGAGGAAGGGGAAGTTTCCGATGAAGACAGTGCAGATGAAATTGAAGACGAGTGCAAGTTCAAGCTCCATTATGTAAGTTACAGGCTTGGCTGTAATTTTTACCCTCAATGTGCTGTGGTAAAAATTGCTGCTGTGTTGGAATCCTCACAAACATCGTGGCTCTAGTGTAAAAAGGATATTGGTTGAAAGTTACTTTGTGTGCCGCCGCACAGACACCAAAATGTTTATTGAGTGAGTGAGGCAAGGATTCTCATGACTTTGAGTTGGAAGGAATGGTAGTGATGGACCCATCTGACCCTTTCTCCAGGGACAAATCCCCTCCTATTACAACTTGGGCGAAACTCAAATTGTGGTTAGGAATGTCACTGTCTTTGAAATAAACTGGCTTTAGCATTGTCTCCCTGCCTCCCACTAGCAGCCCCGCCATGCTGCCTAGCAAAGCTGGCTCGCAGACCCCGCTGCATATGGGTCTGCCTGTCTAGGTCTGCCCATACTCATCCTAAGAAAATGTACCGTGGGACAAAGGATTTCCAAACTCTTTCAGACATGGGATTCTTGCCTTACTCTTTAATTTGCCACAACCTAAATAAAATGGTGTAGACTAATTTGTCACCTGCATGGCACTTCAGACCCCTGTCCTAGATCAAGGAGCTGCCTTTCTAGAAAAGCACCATTTAGCCAGGTAGTCCAAGGGAAATGCAAGCCTAGGGAAGTGTAAGGCTGAAAGAGATACCCACGCCCACCATGGGTGGCTAGGATTCCTTGACCTCCTGCTCCCCACCTCCACCTTCTACAACTCATGGGATTGCCAGGATTACATGACAACCTGAAAGTAGCAGTTGCTTCTGTTAGTTTGTTATAGGGTTTACAATTGTATTTATGTAGAAAAGGGGTATTCCTCTAAATATCAGGACTATTATTCTGCCATCTAAAAAACAGGGAAAAAAATGTATACATTCTTTTAATTTACATCATTGCCCTGAATTCAGTTATAACTTTGTTAAAAACAATCTGTGCTCTTCTAGATTATAGTAGCTGTGCTGCCTTCCTGTAGGTACCAAAAGGGGCTGGCATCATTTTCAAAGGGGGCCAGAGCTTGATGACAGCTGAAGTCTCAGTAGACACTGGATTGTGGCTTTAATGCACTTGAAAAGGGATGAAGTGGAGAAGATTCAGCTTGAAGTGAAAAAGGAAAATTACCATCTGTATTAATCTGTTGCCTTTAATAATTTATCTTAGCGCAATTAACTACCATTCACAAATAGCCCTATAGTTTTAGAAAATTAATCTAAATAGATTTACATAAGTGAAATACAGTTAATATTTTAAATAGTTTCTTATTTGCTCTTCTAAGGATTTACTGTTATACTTTTTTTTTTAAAGATTTTATTGGGGAATTGGGGGAGGGAACAGCGCTGGGGAATCAGGGAAAGAGAACAGACAAGTTGCTGTCCTTTTGTTCTTCAGCCTAGTTGTGGAGGATGTTGCTTCACTGGCCCATTTTGGTATTATTATTGAGCTCTTGGGTGAGGCAGGTTGGTCGCCGGCCATTGGACGGCCACTCATGGCCACTCATGCTGGCTACTGACCACTCACGGTAGCTTACTACAGCCCATTGCAACCCTACTGCAGCCTACGCTGTCGCCAGCGACTCACAGCAGCCTAGCTCCAGGTTGAGCTGTTGTTCACCATCTTAGCTGTAGAGAGCACAGCGTCACCAGCCCATGTGGGATCTTAACCAGCAGTCCTGCTGCTCAGAGCTCGAGCTCCCAAACCAACTCTTAACCAACGAACCACTCGGCCGGCCCTTATTTATTTTTTTTTAATTAATACTTGTGATTATGGGTAATTTAGCTCAAATTTTTCAGCTTTATTTTATAAACCAGGTTTTTGTTTCTGATTTTCAGTACCTTTCCATCTTGTTTCCCATATCTCTTTGTTGCTAGCCTCAGAGTAGTCTGCCATTTGAAAACAGGGAACTGGGAACAGAGGTTCGACTAAGTTATGTGTTTAGGGAATGATGTTTTTAGTGAAAATGAGTGGTGGAAATTTAACTACTATCACAATATAGTCATGTATTGCTCTGAGTAAAACCCAAGTTGTGTTTTCTAAATCCACCAACTTAATATAATTTTTCCCTAATGTCAGTGAGCCTTCTAACTTTCTAATTGAAATGTCTATTATTATAAAATAGAATTAACTGTGGTTTTATAGAAACAAATCAGTAATTCCACTGTAAGAATATCCAACTGAGTTCCTCTCATCTTCAAAGTCTCTTTGTTGGTTTCTAGGAACCCAGACAAGTAGGTAATTTTGAGCATGATTTCATAAAAACAGTCGTGATATTTAATTTTGATTCTTTGATTTGGGACTAAGTGAAAGTGGAGAGCACCTTAACTGTAGAATTTTACACGTGTCTTTTAGATTTTCGGAGAGAAAATACATAAAGAAACCAACATTCCAGTGGAAATCTATAAAGCTTTCACTCTATTTTTTCAAATGTTTTTTCTCTATTTTTGAGCTTTTCTAAGAAAAGGGCATGCTGTATTTAGGAAGCCAAAGTGTTATCCTGTAATCAGTCAATTTATAGTCTTATTGTCAGCAGAGGGCTCAAATGCATCATTTGAGTGTCAGATGTAATTGCCTGATCTAAAACTAATGCTTGATCTTCTTTCTGCATAAGAGAACGTACTGTGCATCCTTATGCGAAACCAATAATTACCTTAGAAGTCCTTAACCTCAGTTTTAATGCAACAGGATGTGGTTAGATTGATAAGTTATATCTGAATTATTGCAATAAATAAAGATTTAATGAACACTGGAATACTAACTCACGAGGCTTATGGAAGATTTATGGCACATTCAACAAATTTTTACTCATGATGTAGGTGTTGGGGGCATATATCAGTACACAGCACAGAGAAAAATCTTTGCCTTCATGGAGTTTGTACATTAATGGGAGAAGGGGGAGATAAACAAGAAATAAATAACATCTGTAGTGCAAGTGCTGAAGGAAAGAAAGGAGGGAAGAAGTGTCGAAAGTGTGTGTACGTGAGGGGTCTATTGAAGCTTTAGATGGGATTGGCCGTCCAGGAAAGGTCTCACAGAGAAGGTAACCTGTGAGCAAAGACCTGAGAGAAGTGAAGAGTTAGCCATGTTGGTATCTGGGAAAGAATGTTCCAGACACAGGGAGTAGCAATTGCACAGGCCAGAAGCAGGATCTGTGGCTCACCCAGCATTGCCCTGTGTTAGAAGCAGAGTAGGAGGCAGGACCCTCAGACAGGTCTTCTCTCTTCCTAGTCTGCTATTATTTCTAACTAAGGGATTCAAACTACCCTACAAGTTTTTTGCATATGCAGTAAGTGCTTTCTTGTTGTTGAGTTCATTGAATCCTTCAAACTTCTGCCTCATACTATTTTGTGGCTTCAGCCATAGAGAAAATCTGACTTGTGATGTATAAGCCACAGGGTAAAGCCAGTGTGTTCAGTGACCCAGGACTCATACAGCTCAAAGACACAGGGGACAATTTCCTTTTTGATCACAGTGCAATTATCTAACCGGTTTGAATCAGTGAGGCCAGCTCACTATTATTCATCTTTATGGGGTCCTCTAATGTCATATGCCTTACAGACTTTCCACCCCCATATTTCAACTTCACTGATTATTTCCTCTTCTGAGTAATTCAGCATCTTTTTTTCCTACACGCTCTGCATCTGTGTAGCCAGCCTCTTCTTAAGCACAAATATCAGCTTGCTCTCTCCTATTTGAAGCTCATCCCCTTTAAACAACTTTTAAATGAGCCCTAGGACAGTAACATGTAGCAACTTGTTTTATTACACTAATACCCTAAAACTATTATTCAGTCTGTGTGCATATCTTACACTAAACACTCATTGTTTTCTCTTTTCCCACTCCCTTAGCTATGAATTCATCTTCTCTCCTAAGTGACTTGTTTTATGATTTGAATCATTTTAAGAAGGATTATGGTTCTTGTTGGCTTCCGAGTTGTCAGCACTCATAGAAGGGATGAGTTACCTCATGAGGTTGTGAGGTTTTGCTCCTGAAAGTGTTCACCCACAGGCTGGCATGATGTTGCATCCTGGCAACAAGGGGTGGGGAATGGACGAGGTGATCTGGAAGATCTCTGGAAGATTCCAGTAGTTTCTAGTACCTGATAGGCTTCTGCTACCTTGCCAAACAGTTAAGGTAATGGACATTTAAGGTCTAACATAGTGTATATATTACAGTCACGCACCACATAATGACGCTTCTGTCAACCTGGACTGCATATATGAAGGTGATCCCATAAAATTATAATGGAGCTGAAAATTTTCTGTCACCTAGTGATGTAGTCATGGTAACATCATAGTGCAACATGCTACTCACGTGTTTGTGCTGATGCCGGCATAAACAAACCTAATGTAGTGCCCTCTTATAAAAGTATAGCACATACCAGTAAGTACAGCACATAATACTTGATGATGAGAATAAATGACCGTATTACTGGTTTATGTGCTATACTTTTTATTGCTGTTTTGGAGTGCACTCTTTCCACTCATGAAACAAAGTTTATTGTAAACAGTATGCCGTGTTATGCTGGTAGCAGCCTCATATACCCTGTTTACTGCATCTCTCTTGATTGCCTCATTTTCTCTTGTACTTGCTTTAATCTCATGTCGTTTTGTACAGTAAGATGTTGTATAGGCTTATAGCCTAGGAGCAATAGGCTGTACCATAGAACCTGCGTGTGTAGCAGGTGACACCATCTACATTTGTGTGAATACACTCTGTGATGTTCACACAATAACAAAATCACCTAATGATGCATTTTTCAAAATGTGTCCCCATTGTTAACCAGCACATGACTGTATACATATATACATACACACACACACACACACACACACACACACACACACACACACACACATATATTTTTTTTTTCCCCTTGTATTTCAAAGTTATGGTCTTTTGGGAGCTGCAATTCCTAAAGACAAGTCTACTACCAGTCAAAGTTTTCTTCCCTTGTTGGTAATCTGTCTTTCTATCCTTGTTCTGTACTTTTGCTATTA